AACCACATTCGATTCCTTTGCGGAACCTGTGTCCACCCTTGAAGCCTAAATTTAGTGATTTTTGAGTGTATTGGTTCCTCTCAGGACTTGATCTGCAACGATTTCCTCTGTTTCAGGGCGTACTTCTACTCTCAACCTTCTCTTTAGCCGTGTTCTAAGCTGCTTCCATTCACTAAGAAAGGAGAAGGCCTATTGCGTGATTCGTCCGATTGAACCTCCTTCTTCAGTTGGGAGGCAGACCAGAAGAGAATATGTCTCAGCAGTCTAAAAAGCGTATCGATGTTTCAAGCACCGAGTCATTCTTCTTTATATTATATTGTTCCGGTTCCGAGGCAGTCGCATCAAAATGAGGCTGCAACAAAAAAAAACTATCAGTGATTGGGCCATTCGCTCCTTGAAAGAGAGGAATCTTGTGTGGTTCAGGGTCTTCTCGCTTCCCTCTCTTTAATTTAAGGTTATTTCGGATTCTGTCTTTCATTTTAATAGAGAGAGCTGCTCTGAACAGAAGATTTTTCCTATTTTTCGTAGGTAAAGCTGGCTAACCAAAGGTTCTTTTTCAGCCGTTGACAAGTAGTCTCAACTTGCTCATGTGACGTATTTTCTCTCCCTTTTCGTCGAAGCAAGACCACTATTCCTCGTCCCAATTCGAATCTTCATGATTCAATCCTCGTGAGGGGCTTCCCATGTTGAACGAGACGGATTGTTGGTTCTACCTCTTAACTCAAGCTGGCCATCGAATTAGGTTTCCACTCCTTTAGCTATAAGTGGTCTGCTTTCAAGAAAAATAAGAACATTGGTGGGTACGCTTCCAACTTGCAATTTATAGATTAGAAAGATGACTATTTGTTCAGCCATCAAGCTTCATGCTTTCTCGAGGAGCGGGTTCTATCCCCTAAGCCAATGAGCGCTATGTCTAAGACTATAACCCTTCCCTCAACACGTGGCCTTCTTTTTCTACCTCTCTTTCACTCTGCTTGTTTAGCTTTACATCTGTCACAAGATATCATTTCCAATACATCCGCAAGGCAGGCTCACTATGGAAATCTAAATCATCCCCTCTCTCGGAGTTGCATACAAAGATTTTGACCTTCAGCTATAGCTTTAGAAGAGTAGTTGCACCGATTGATGCTACGCATCTTCGCACTCGCTCCTACCTTTTGGGCAAGAGCAAAGACACAAGTAGCATGGAAGAAACCGAGGGCTTTAGCGGTTGACGATAAATACCATGGTCTTAAACCCCTTTTTACTACCTTAAAACAAATGTGGCATTTCCTGGTACGAGCAGCTTCCATTGTTTACTTCTTCCTTCTTGCTGACTTGGGATTTCAAGACCAATACTATACTAAAAGTTGGCCTAGATATTCTCATATACGTTTGGGGTATAGGGTACAATTGACTCTTTCCTTTGCTTATGCCTTATTTCCGGGTCGGAGAGAGGGCTATGAAGTTTCTTGCTGTAGGACCAGAAAGAGGATTAGTACCATTCACAAGAGTCAACGAAAGAGGCTTATCATGTGAGCTGGTCTGTTTGTTTGAGACTTTAGTGTTGTAATTATTGCTCGAATTTTTATTTTAGGAAACTGCTATATTATACATTCCGTAATGGTAACCGCAGTAGTATATTTTTGGATGCCATTATTGTTCCCAACTGTCGAGAATTACAGAAACCATCTGTCAGGAACGACATATGAACTGTCAGGATGTAATGTTGGTGTTTTGCTTGTGAATTGTCGTCTCATTAAAATCAATTTTCCATTTCGACAAACTATCAGTCAAAGCTAATGGAACCATAATGATCGGCTAAGTTTATAATAAAAATAACGTATTCATCCCGTTTGTACTAATGGTTCGGTACTTTGATTGCGAAATATAACAACCAATTTTTTGTTGGTATATGATAATAACAACAAATTAGTAACATTGGTTTGGAATGTACACTGCATAGGGGGAACATTTTCGGGATTACATTTGACAACCACTTTTACCACCAATTTAAGTTTTCATCGTCGCGTATTTCGGTCGGAGGTATATTCAAATTAGGGACTTTGAACATCAATTCAATTTGAGTGTGGGGATCAAGAATACCAAGTTTGTCTTTCAACTTTAACAAAAGTTCGGCTATGGTAATAATTGTCGGCACCAGAATGGAAATGGTTTTGTCCCCTTTTTACTTCCATTCGTCATCCGCAGGAACAAACTTTCTCCCATGCAATACATTGAATTTCAAATGATTACTCATAATTGAAATGTTGGGATTGCAATGGTAAGAAATTCAGAATCAATATGTTAGCATGAAAGTGGCACTGCATAATACGTAAATTCGTACAATAGCAAAAGATAAAATCAAGGGTTTCTATCGTTTTGAAGCGTCCAAATTGACAGTAAAATTGTATATCCTGACAGTTTATAAATGTCGGGTTCGACATTTAAACGTCTAACTCGACGGTTTGTAAATTTCAAATTTGACAGTTGAACTATCAAAAATATTGAGAAGCAGACGGCACTGGATGGAACTAAGCTTCTTTAGCACATCACATTAAGTGTGGTCATTACTATTGAGCTACCAAATCACAAAATGAAAATGTCGGATTAGCCTTATCATTAAAGAGATATTTAATAAAAACAGTATTTGGTTTGAATAGAAGAAATTTCTCAAAACCTTAATGGTGATAATGACATTTTGTGAATGATTCTAAAACCAAACAAATCAATGCATAATATTTTCAAAAATTTCAAATAAATATGCCCATATTTTATTTAAAATTTACAAAACAAAAAGCTATAAGAGTAAAATATAAATAATTTATAATTACTAAACTCTCAAAATGGATGAAGAACGCAACAAAAATGTTTTCTTGATCAATGAAAATGAAGAAGATGGAGAAAAGTTAGGGTTTGTAGTTTATATTTCATTTTTAAATTTCTTTTACCTCTTTTTTATTAACAAAAATTCATATTAATCAATAAAATACACATATATCCATGTTTTGATATGTTAAGACGGGTGGATACTTGACTTTGATATCTTCTTTTCTAAGTAGCATATTCAACTATGTGGTCCCGTCTCCAAACTTTGAAAAATTGTATTTCCTTATTCCTCAACTTATGTACTTTTTTTGTCTAGTATAATTATTGGTGTTTCTACGTAGGCAACTAAGTTTTGTGGATTTTCTTAAAATAGGCTTCTTAGCCACTATTTCAACTCCATTAAAATTATAATATATTTTTCTCTCTCTTTTTTATTAACTGTACATTTTTCAATAAAATAATATTGCAAGTAAATCTAGGGATGTCTCGAAGTTCAGGCTCGATTCGAGTAAAAATGATTCTGAATTTTTTGGCCTAAGCAGAGTCTAGTTTTTGCTCGGGAAAAAAATTAAGACTTAACTTGAGCTTTTGACTCGGGCTTGAGCGAGCCGTGTCGCTTTTTTTTTTTGTAATTCATGACACATCTCACTTTTTTAAAAGAAATTAAAATTTGTACAATTTATACGCATTATAAATTAAATATAAAGTTACAACCTCCTCTTTTTTTCGAACTTGGGATCGATTACAATCAATATAAGAGGAGTTAAAGTTGTAGACTAATAAAATATTTTGTGTACAATTTTTTTTTGAAACAAATAAATTTAAAAATTAAGTATATTTTTTCAAAACTAATCAATTTAAAAACTTACAACATACTATAATTGGATTTGAAGCAACTCTTCAACCATTATACTAAATATAGCCTTTGATGCCATCTAGGCACCAGAGGTATTAGATCACTTGCTGCAATTTTTTATACAATTCGATATTGTCTTTCGTTACACCTTTACCATGATAGAAAACTAAATTCTTGCAATTCTTTTGGGTGTAGCACATTACGAAGGTTCGTGCATATATACCTAACTAACTTAGAGGTAATTTCAAGATTTGTACCACTTACATTTATCACTCTAGATATTGATGAACTAGAACTAAATGAGGGAACACTTGTTCGTGTCCAAATAATTCCATGTATCATCTAAATATGTTAAAATATATTTTGACAAGGGACTTTGGGAAGTAGAACTTCTCTTACCTCCCTTTTCAACATAATAGTTATACATTTCGCATAACAAAGATTTCATATGTACATGTGATAATTTTGCATTCATGAAATTTGAAATCTCCTTTATAATAGCTTTTGTGCCAGTTAAATTAAGTCAAGAGTTCATCATCGAGCTACTCAATATTTACGAAATTTTAACTCAATATAATAGACTACATCAACAAAAGTAGAAAATTTCTATATTTATGAAATGTTTGTGAAGTATAGAAAAAGTACTGTAAAACAAGTGAAGATATACAATAATAAATACCTCTACATTCTTTTATAGCATCGAAAACAGGTTTTAAGATTTTCTTAATAAGAGTTTGACTTTTTTCCTTAAGACGATAATGCCGTACACGAGTACTAATGGTTTTCTTGCATTCGTCTTCCTATATACAACGACAACGTCTTGCAATAGGAACACTCTAATGCACTTAGACCAACGTTGAACAAACTTTACCAATGTTTGAACTCTCTTTTATGAAATCATATTCAAAGTAAATGAGCAAATGAATATGCATCAAAATGATATACAATTTCTAAATTGAATGAATGAAAATTCCAAACACTTGAGTCTATATGGTTGTTGAAAAGTTGTATCTCAAAAGGTACGACTGTTGGAATTTGTCTCTATATACCTCTACACACCTATTGAAAATTAATAATTTCAAAGTCATGATCTTTTATTTGAAAAGACATCTTTTTATCCAAACGGTTCTAAAATATGTCATAATATTTTACTAAAATTTCAAACAACGTCACGTATTCATGCCTTAAATTCAGTATAACCCCAAAGAAATTTATATGTGTGAAGGGCAAGAAACTTGAAAATCGGACAATGCACGAGATTTCTCAAAGCTAATCAAACATTTCAGGCACACCGCACACATTTATACGAAAACTGAGGTTATGAGCTTGAATAAAGTTTAAAAAACATGCTTTAACTACAAATCATATATCCATGCCTTAAATTCAGTAAAACCCCAACGAAACTAATAGAAAATTCAATAAACATGCAACTAAGAAACCAAACTAACAACTTCTATTCTGAAACTTAAGAACACTATTACTTGGCTTTCTTCTTCTTTTAACCGAAGATCCATGACTCCCCATAATTGTCGATTCTTTCCCCGTTATTAATTACCTGACAAATAGTAAATTGCAAGGAATGAATATATTTGAACAGTAAACACATTGTGTGTGACGAGCCATCCTACACACCCAAGTCGTTAAATTACGTACTATCAACTTTAGAAGAGTCTGAACCCATCTTACTCCTCACGGATTTTTATCACGTCCCCAGAATTCAAATAAATGACCTCAACTTAAGAGAGACTTAAATTGAATTTTGGTACTAGTTGGATAGTATGTAAATTAAAGGTTTGGACGCTGAGGCTGACAAGCAATTCTGTACAAGCACAAGATAAGAAATATATGTTGAACACTTGTATCGTACTTTTATTTTTAGAGAAGTCTAACCATGAAACAACAACTCTATGCGAGTCCACAAAATTTTCGTAAACCGAAGGTTAATATTAAATTCTTGTACTAATGGACCATCTCATGGTTTATCTTGAATGTCTTCAAAACTAAATTGTCCCACAGGTGATTACTAATCATTTCTTCAGTATAAAAATTTCAAGAATGATATGGATTACCACTTTTCATATGGTACTCGACAAACTTTAGAATCCATATTTGAAAGAAGCCCCCAAAAACTGTTGAAAAATGTTTACAATACTTTTAAGTTCAGTCCTGAGCATTCTAGAATTTGCTAGTGTCCCAATCTTTCCTTTTGACAAATAAAATTGAAGATATAATTTTGTAGAATAAAGCCAGTCAGATAGGCTAAAAAAAGGTCGTCGGTGAATAGACTGATTAGGCAGAAATTGATTGGCATTTTTTTTTTATATATTTTTTAAAGTGTCCAATCATATTTCGACACGTATCCACATGTTTTTTTACCCTATTGTGAGCCTATCCCTCTACCATCTTTGAATTTTGTACTCTCTAATAATGTTTTCTTGGATAATGTGTTTTTTTTATTTAGCACTTAGGTCCCTAATAAAATTGAAAAAGTTGTTAACAGACATAATCATGTTCTACAAATTTTTGGGATGTTGCACGAAAGAAGTTTACCAAAAGACACTTACCATTACCTTTATCATTTCCTGTATTTCTGTTGGAAAAGGCATACATTCTTAAATGTGGATCGACATGCAGACCAATTGTTTCATACTTTGGATCATACAGCGAATATCTGGAACAATCATATCATATAATTTAATGAGATAATAATAATTAAGTAGCAATATTCAAAATTAGATTAAAATTGTAAAATAGAAATGTTATATTACCTATGACCTTGTTCATTTCCAACTTGTGCAAGGTGATAGCTTGAGCGATGAGGAGCATTGTCGTCTTGCCAAATTGTTTTCCTCTTCAATCGAATCATAGCCATGAAAAGGATATAACACGTAAAAATGTTTTGACAAGTAGAAGATGTTATAGAACTAATTATTTAACTTAACTTATGAAATATATATGTGAAGCATTAAAATTTCTATATATAAATGAAATATATATGTCACTTATTTAATAGATTTAAATTTAATATATAAAAAACCTAGGTGTAATTGAGAATAAATACAAAGAGCCATAACTAAATACTTCTAGTTATCATTTTAGTTTAGAAAAAAATACTTGCAAGATAATATAATTCGCACCTTTTGTCGTGACATAAGAGGGTAATGAGAGAAAGAACTTCCACCATCGTGATTAAAGCCGCTTGATCCACTTGCAAGATTTTGATGGCCTTGAATACCCAGTGACCTAAAATAATATCGATCTAACATAATTATTATGTGTATCCATTTGTGTTTGAACATCACTAATAAAAGTTTCTCGTAAATTGTGGACGAGATTGGAGTCTTATTGTTTGCATATAGAGTTTATGTTTGTACAACTTTGGTCAATTCATGGCTAAACAAATGCGTTACTTTTCCTTTACATATAAACAAGAAGATTATGAGTGCATTATATATTTACTTTAACCACAATATTATTATGAACAAAATATAAAGCAAATTACCTCAGTGGGTTTGAAATTTCATATGCATCTGTGGAATATGACCATTGGGTTTGGTGAGTGTTAGCCTCCACTATTGGTAGATCAACTAAGTCCCCAAATGGCATCTGTCATAATCACTCAATCTTTAATAAATTGTCATATATAACAAGAGTAACAAAATTTTAAATGATGTGTATCAAAAGTCGAGTGATACTCGTATGCATGGACATGATTAAAGAAGGAAAAGTCAAGTTCAGATTGTCCAATTTTGATACCAAAGATGCCCTTAAAGTTGTTGTGTATCCGATGTACACAGGCGGATTTAGTGTGGGGGCAGTACACTAAATTTCAATTCCAAGAACTTAAACTAAGATTTTTCAAGATTTTGAACAAATTTTTCAAAAAATTCCTTATAGTTTTCAATATTACCCCACAATTTAAATTTTATAAAATTTGTCCCCAAAACTCTTTTATCTTAACTCTCCCCATGAGCGTACATGGGAATTAATCAAAGGCTTCAAAGTGTTTGTCCTTACAGTGACTTGTTGATGCGAATGCTTCCCTGCAAATCGAGAAGATGATTGCAAACGAAACTCGGGAGGCAAAGTCGACAAGGGGAGATGATATTTGTTGAGCGTCTCATTAGTGTTGTATGTATTTCTGGCGAATTGATCCATACGCAACAGCATATTGTTGTTGTAAGGTACTCGAGCTGCTTGAGGCCTAGATGAAGAACGAAGAAAAAATATTTAATTTATCAAACGACCATAATGATATGAAAAATGGGGTTCATTGATATGAAAATTAGGGGTTTGCCACTACTTTTATGGAAACAAAAGGAAATAGCAACAGTAGATTGATTTTTGGCTGATCCAATTCTTTTTACTATCAATTCTCCATCCACACGCGTCATTTAGGTACCATCTCATTAGATCATAAATGAAAGAACCTATATGCCCTTGAAGTCCCAAGGTAGTCTCAACTCATTGAGTGAGAGTGGACCACCCGATGAGGTGGTGGCTTCCCATTCGATAGTCGCACCACGTAGGATGGTGCGCCACCCCACCGAATTTTTTTCTCACCTTGTGGGCATTGGTTGTTTCATAGTGATACAAATAAGAAAACAATAAATTAACAAAAATCATGCTACAATCCCAAATGCCTAGACATAATCCTTATTATTCACTTGAGATTTCATCATTGAATTATTTTAAGCATAGTCAGCTTTTCAATCAAATTATTTGTTGCAACCTTGGATTATGTCAGTGCATCTGTTAATTTCATCTGACAGAGTGACGAAATCCAATTAGCAATTGTAATGTTTTGTTTGGAAGTCAAATTCCTAATACGTACGAAATTAACCTTACTTTGCGGAGAAACTAGAGTTTCCTTAAAAAACATACTTGGATTAAAACGAACAGAGTCTCTGGCGGATATTATGTAAAATGAAAACGAATCTTTATAAAAGTTATGAGTATTCAAACCTGAAGTTCAGATCTTTGCTAGCTGAGAATTCTTCAGTCGATGGGCACAACTCCTGATTGGGATTAGGATCTTGCAAATGATGGATAATTGAAAAGGGCTGTTCTCTTCCTTCTTGACGCTCCATTTGTTTCTAATGTATGATATAACGTATATAAAACTCATTATACCATCATAAAATGTCATCAATTTATGATTTTAAATATATAATTTCACGGATGAAACAATTTTGTAACGACTCTAAAGGATAATATTATCTCACAATAAATGAAATTGTGATTTGGGTGAAAAATCCTCAAAAATGTAGATATTTCTTCTCCCATCAAATAAAAAATAAATAAATTACAGCAAATTCAATACAAATAAAATTAAAAATGGTAGTATGCTCAATCAAAATGGGAATTTACTGCAATCATGATTTTAATAAAAGAGATGAAACTGACCTTTCCAATGATTGAATGCTAATTGTCCATCGTGTCGTGATATATTAAATAGACATGCACGAATTGTTCAATGTACGAAATTCTTTTAAAATCAAAATAAAACAAATCAAAATGATGTTACTCGATCCACGAATTGATGTTTAATACAAGTTGAAAATCAAACTTTCCAGTAATGGAATTTATATATGGTCGATTATGGTGCATAAATTTAAAATCAATGTGAATAAAGCAAATATTAAAAAATAAAAACTAAACCAATTGATGTGTTGATAATTCAATACCTTTGGTAGAAATCTTTTCAACTGCAAAAATAAATTAGCAAACAAAAATTAGACTGGTTTTCTCTTTTTCAATAATTTTGGGGGAAATTGATTTGGTTTAGAAGGATATTAGGTTTATTTGGTAGAGAAATAATAATGCTCGAAATTTAATAAATTTCTCTAATGATTCTTGAGTGATATGAGCTGTCCTTTATGTATGTTTGTGTACTTCAACAAATTATTTATGACGAATTTTGAATTTTAATTGCTAATAAGGATAAATATTGACACCTTCAAATACTTACCTAGGATAATTAAGAAGCCTTCTACCATTAGGTTTTTCAAATGAATAATTTATTTGTGAAAGGATAAGGCGAAACAAATTAATTTATTTCTTCAATTACATAGGAATATATTTTTGCTAGTGTATGGGTGAAAAATCCTCAAAAATGTAGATATTTCTTCTCCCATCAAATGAATAATAATAATAATAATAATAATAATAATAATAATAATAATAATAATAATAATAATAATAATAATAATAATAATATTATGATGTTGACGATGACGTCGACGTTGTTGATGATATAGTTTAGCTATAAGGCTATTGAATTTAATTTGAAAAAAGGACTTCTTAAAACCCCTTTTAAATCTTCTCTTAAACAATAAAAAGGGAAAAATATACATGAACTATAAGTACCCTTTTAAAATATATTCAATCAATATAAATCATAGTTTAATGTGCTATAATCACTTTGTTACTTATTGGCATTTATTTACTAGGATTGACTAAAATTATATTGATATAAGTTGATTAAATTTAAAGGCTACGCTTAAAATTTTCCCGTACACCTTTATATGTATATACTTTTTCAGATAACAACATTTACGCTCTTAATTTTAAATTCATCAATCACATCACTGCACAAATTTCCTTCACATAGTAAGAATATCAACCAAGTTGTCATGGTTGATGTACACGTAGCATTATTCTTAAAGGTATGCGTTCCTCAGACCCAATAAAAATATAATTTTGATGTAGCCATAATTATCCTTTTTGACTTTTAAAATGACGAAGATCAACAAAGAGAGCCTATGTTGAAGCAATTTAACGTGCTTTAATTACAAAATTTATTTGATTTTCTTCAACAATGTTACTTTATATCTATAAATAGATCTTGCGATGTTCTTATAATTACATTATCAAAGAGGGTCAACGAATCCAATTTGCCCATTGAGTCTAGTTTGAGGCATAAAACTCAGACTAGATGTTGATGGAGTTCCAATTCAAAATTTAGAAATAAAACGTTCTTATAATTATTAGAGACTTACTTTGAATATAAATTTCGAATTACCATATGTCTCCATTTTTCGACGAAAATTGACAAAGCAAACATTAGCCAAACCAACCAATTTAATGTGTTATAATCACAACCCGTTATCTATTGATGTTTACTTATTTGGATTGACACAAACTTTATCAAAATAAATTGATTCAGTTTTGAGGTTTACATTTAAGATACCTACCGTGGAAATAAGTTTCAAATTACTATGCTCCTGGGGCATAGCCTAGTGGTGCAAAGAATAGGAGTGAGATTATCTCACGCCTTACTGACAGCCGCAGTGTGGAGGTTCGATTCCTGAAACATGGAATTGGACTCCTTGTAGGCGCAGTGTACAGGCAGCTCTTGTTCCCTGGCCTGATGGGGCACATCCCTTGATTTACCTCCCTCACAAAACTCTAAGAACGGGACGGTGAGAACCCTCAAGATTGGGATTCAACCTTTAAGTTTCAAATTACTATATTTCTCCATTTTGGATTTGAAATTCAAAAAGATAAACAAAGCAAACCGAAGTCAAACAAATTTTACTTAGTATAATTGCTGGGGTGTTCACTTATTTGTATTCCCACAAATAGCATTAATGTTTTATTTAGTTTTAATAGACACCTAGAATAGTAAATTGATGTGAAATGTGTTGTTAAAAAATAAGGAAAAGTTTTTGGTTTACGTGTAATATTATTTTAATAAAAAATATGTGATTGAAAAGAAGATAGGGAAAAATACATTTTGAAAAAAATGGCTACCAAACGGGGCTATAATTTTATCGTTTGTGAAACAAAATTTTTGGTAGAACATTTATTTTAGAATCATGTTATACATTCAGGCTCAAATCCAGATAAGACACATGTCAACGCATGATTGGACAGTTTGAAAAATTAATGCAAAAACATCCAATCATTTTCTGACACATCAATTTGTTTCCTTACTTCCCTATTTTTAACCCTGAACAAGTGGTTTCATTCTTTATTTTATGTTGTTTGGTCATGTAAAACGTGGCTTACCTCAAATTGGCTGTTTGGACAAATAATTCATGGTTTTGAAACAATTAAGGTCCACTTTCGTGGAATGTAACCACGTTGTTGTCTAAATTATTTTTTTCAATTTTTTAGTCCAATCACCCGTCTTCCTTTTTGTATAGATTTCGAACAATACAGATATTCTTGTCAAACAAAGCAAATTTTACTAGAATTTCTAGTTTATCAAGACATAGGGTGTATTTGAAATAAATAAATAAATAAATAAAATAAATCTTAGAACTTTATGGCTGGTATAATCAAAAGCCTTCTACAAATTAGTAATTTATTTGTGAAGTGATAAGTTGAAACAAATTACCTGATACATTTAATTTACTCAATAAAATAAATATTTAAAATATCCATAACAACAAAAATAAAAAAAATAAAAATAATAATAATAATAATATGATTAGAGTGATGTATAATAGCCACTGAGGCTTCCCAATTTTATAAAAGGAACATTGTTTGTATCCTTATACTCCGGTCCGAGACGATAGACAAAAAAATATGGATTAATCTTCTTGTACATAGGGGGATCAATAATGGAGTCCAATGGACACATGGAGCCTCCCTATTGGAGGGGTTCAGGGTCCCCCTACGTACCCATAGTATAGCCCAAAAAATATACGTCCTTGATTTGAAGTGCACATTTGGTAAAATACTCAATCCCTGTAAATCATAGTTATTTTCTGTAACGGCAATTCATTATTTAATGACATTTACTTATCACGATCTATTCAAACCATATTGATATAAGTTGACTACGTTTTGATATATGATTTCTAGAGACCCATTTCACATACAATAAAGTTATTCAAATAGGGCCATTTGACAGGATTAGGTGACAGGTGCTTTGTGTAGCACTTGTGAAGCTCTCTTTTTTCAAACTGTCCAATGAATATGGAACACGTGTCCACTGTTTTAAAATCCTATCATTGACCATATTTGTGTAGCAAGTTTGTTTCAAATATAACTTTGGCATAAAACATAATTCTCCTTTTTGACTTTGACATGAAGTTTGAAAAAGCAAACCAAAGTTGAACGAATTTAACATGCCATAGTTATGAGATTTATTTGGATCGACTTCAACTATGTTACTTTATATCTATAAATAGATCTTGTGATGTTTTTGCAATGACACTAATGAAGAGGCTCGAGAAAATTAATCCCTTTATTGGGTCTTGGTTGAGGCCTAAACACCTAGCCTCAATGTTGATGGTGTTTCCATTCAAAATTTGAAAAAGTAATAAAATATTATTGTAACTTCGAAAGTTATTGAAGATTGAGTAATATTTGAACTTATTGTTTATGGAGAGAGACGCTCGAAATAAATAAAGATGTCATGATTTTTGAGAGTTGTCTACGTTGTAAGTATTTGCACTAAATTCAGATTATTTATTAAAAAATTTAAAATTCAAAGTGCTGATGCTAATCTTGAAAAATATTAAATCTTTTAAGTACTTAAAAAAAATATCCAATTTAAAGTTTAAAAATTTACTCTATACCCGCAATATTCAAAAAATATTACTAACTTTATTCTTCCCCGCCATACTCACCATTTGTCCCCACCAAACAAATGCAAATTTCACGTTCTGAGAATTCAAAAAGTAATTACTAGAATTCAAAACTCATCAATTACATGTCTTATCGTAATAACTTGGCAAAATCCCCGAAGGGACACTATTCTACTATCATGCCTGCCATCCACAACTCGAGCTTAACCATCGAGGACACGAATTGGGTGATTAGTGAGAAATACTACTGTTTCGCACGATTTAGTTGCTAACAACTAAAAAGGGATCAGACGATTGTATAAGGGACAAACCTCTTGAGACAGAGTCCCAAAAAGAGGTGTTTTTATTAGCGATGACTTTACAATTGGAAAATAAAAACAGAATGCCTCCAAGGGGCGCAAGCACACGAGTTACTGAAAAAGAAGTGTTTAAATATAAGCTAAGAAATTTAAAGTTACATATTCTCCGTTTGAGAGTGTTTGATTCGGGGTCCTTTGCTTTATGTCTTTTCTTCCTTTTATACTTCCCGGATGATCTTTTCGTGATCA